AAAAAAAAAAAAAAAAAAGATAAATATATGGACTTCCCATCACTTTAAAATCCCCACACTACACCTAGATGGGGTACAGGTTTGGGTTTAAAGTTGCTATGCTTCAGTTTTAAGCATGTAAAAAAGCAAGCACTTTCCACCTAAAACCTATACCTCAATCTCACCCCACAGCTTTCTAAAACACAAACAAAAATACCCTCCTGCAGCCCCAAGGTTTGTAAACCAATGTTAAAAGGGGCTGGGACCATAGATGCGTCTTTTATTAATGGGGTTACTTCATCTTTAGCCTTTCACAAGTCTTTTACTTTTGTGCTGTTACATGCCAGGCATCACTACATCACCCAGATCTGACAAAGTGTTTATGTTTTTAGGAAACAAAGTAAAAACTTAAGCAGTGTGTTTTCCCATTATGTGGTCCAGAAGGGGCTATAATTTAACATTTTGAGGCTGGAAGTTTGAAGGGTTGTCTGGCACAAGCATAAGTCAGGTAAAGGATCTGAAATAAATGTCCATGTAATCACATAAAAAGTTGCAGGACAACATAACCATGAATTCCCTCAACAGCAGTGACAGACAGGAATTTGATGAGGATGTGAAACACTTATAAAGGGCAAAAGTACTTCTTTTGTGCCTAGGTTACCATTCTCTAAAGCACACACTGAAAGCTATTTCTAGTTCTTTTCATGGACCTACAAATAGTTTCAAGTGCAATCAAATTCTGCTAGGAGCAACACAACACTGTCAAACATGTCAGACTTTTCTATTCTGTTGGGACCTCCAGTCCCTCAAACCTGCCAAACTAGTGTGCCTAAAACCTCAATAATGCTGTAGCTTTATGGTGTACTTATTGAATCCTTTTCCTCTAGTACTGAGAAAACAATAATACTTGGTATACCCATGTTAACAGTCCTAAATAGCAGATAGAGAGGTAAGGCACACCAGAAAAGACAGTGACACAAAGGTGAAAAGATGGCCATTGCTTCCCTTCTACCTAGAAAGTGCCTTTCTTCCAAAGTACCTAGAAGGTACTTTGGAAGAAAGAGTCTTAAGAGCAGCATTCCCAATACTAACCACAGACGGCATAAAAAAGAAAGCAGTAAACCGTCAGAGAACTTCACACTGATAGTCAATAACAAAGTATTGTATTCCCAAACCTCTGCTGAGCACCAAAGCAAACATACACAGGTGTCTACATCAATACAACAGTGCCAAATAATTCTGCACCTTTACCATCTTTCCAGATCATAAATTGGCAAGATTAAACTCTGTGATGATGCCAAACACACATGGGCTGAGACCTCTAGAACCAGAAACACAGGTGACAAGTTTTACCTGATAAAGGAGTGCCCAGAATAATGTAATGTAGTGAGAATAAAGAAACCAAGGATAAAACTCATTTGACATATTTCTATTTAATTAAGGTGATTTATTTCTGGCAAGCCAGAGCTACATGGTAGAATCTGATTGCACAAACTTTTGTATGTGGACTATATACGTATAAGTGTATACCAAACACTTTTTTGAACATTTTAACCGCCTTTCAATCAGAAAAAGAAAAGAATGGTTCACGGTACCATAGCACTAACACTTTAGTTGTTTCGGTTTCAACAGAAGTTGTAGGAAGCCGGTTTCCTCGATCCATCTGGCCATTTACAGGAGCTAAGGTTGTCACAAAACTGCTGCGACTATGGCCAGAATCCGTGCAATTCTTTTTAGGGTGCGATTTCTGTATTATTTTCTCCCAGGGGTATAGAGAAAATGGGAAACAATTGTTTAACAATCTTTTCAACTAGCACCTGACTTTAGACCCTTTAAATCAGTGGAGATTATACAGACACAAACTACCGTGTTTTTGATGCAGCTTAGCATAATACAGAATGCTGCATGAAATAACAGAAGGCTCCCTTGAAATTAAGCCTTTTCACCAGTCTTAGGATAAAGCTAAAATCTTTGTGCCAGGCAGGCATCCCAGTGTTCTGCACAATAATGTAAAAGTGCTGTAATTATTGCTTGTATAACGGAAATGGATTTTGGCATCTTTTGGAAACACGTCAATTAAATGAGAGCCATCATAACTGTGCTATTGAATAATCAAACTCTTCCATGCAGCTCAAGCCTTATACGTCTGTCTCTGGCAAAGTTTAGACCCGTCAATTATGATAACAATTGTGTTTCTTAAGCAGACTCTAAAAACCTGGTTTAAAAAAATCGGAATATTTAAAAGATACTGGGCAAGCAATGAGCACATCAGGGTGAGAACATACAGCTCAGCAATCGGAAGACCCTTTCCTCTGTGTATAAACATACCTAGATACTGACACACGATTCCTCATATTCAACTAAAACTAAGAGCAGGTAATACTTGGCTTTAAATTTCCCAGAGATATTTGACCCACTGTACAACCCTTCTGTGTTTCCAGGGAGAGGAACAGGAATTCATTGTTAATACAAATACCTTAATACATCTACATATACCATTATAATCCCACTGCATGGGCTAAATACAGAGAAGCCTTGCTTTGAGGGTGATGCTTTTAAAACCTTGGTCAATCAATGCTGCTGTTATACATAAGAAACAATACATTTGCCATTTTCCCTAAATTGCACAAGAAAAACAGGTAGATTTTAATTGTCTGCTATGGGCAATGGTTTGACATTTCTTTGCACCACATTTCAGAGATCTCTCCTTACCCCCCAACAATATGTTTCAGCTGAACACCAGCTACACTCTATGTGAGTTTCAGCACCTGTAAACTGTACATCACAAATCACAATACTGGGAAATCGACATGGTGGACTGAATCCATCAGCATATATGAATTTAGTCCATCACATACATCGGTGCTCATATAAATCATTATACCCTGTTTAACCAATCTGAAGATTGTATTTCATACAAGCTATGCTCTCTAATGATTGTAAAATAGTGTATTCTCATGTGGCTGCAGTCTAATCTGAACATTCATTCCTCATCCAGTAAGAAATACATTTAGGTTCTCTTAAATAGCTGTTATTCTACAAATTTACTCTCATTATATGATCTTTTATATCTCATATGCATGTGCCTTTCTGGTTCCTACTCAATTCAGAATAAAAATGCATTTGCTTTTAACGGTTCTTGTTGTTTAAAAATGGAAAGTACCTACCACTACATTAAAAAGCACTGTGATTAACACTTCTCTAACACAAAGAGACAGTACAAAGTAGCAAAGCCCACAAACCACTAAAGGATGAATAAAAATAAAATCAGAAATGCATACATTGTCTCATATAAAGTACTTGGAGGGCTAATCTTGATAAAAGATATATAAAAGCCATGTAACTCTGGTCAGCATCTGAGAGTTAACGTCCACACATCTACACGGTTCATACCTGCCCAATGTCTCAGTAAAGAGAACATGTAAATGTGTAGGCTTGTATACTACCAAGTGTAGGTCACAACTTGCTTGTCTGTGTAACTTCCTACACTGCTAAAGAGCAGACTAATAGACAAGGGGTGGAAACAAAGCCCCCTTTTGGTACACTATACATCTGTAATAAGCTTAATAAAATAAATAGTTTTACAAATCTATCGTGCATGATATCAGGAATTTAAATTCCTCTGTAGAATGATGGAAAAAACATTCATAATGCTACTTAAAAAAAAAATTAAATACGTTTCTTTATGTTTAAATAAAAAAGTGAAGCTTGAGCAAGATGATCAGCAAAGTGTTGTCATGGATATGGCTGAAACCAAGATGTGCAGAGCAATTTGTCCTCAGTGCCAGCCAAATGGTATATTATGGCAGTCTTCCTTCTCAACAGGACACAGTGTTGTCAAAAAAATTAGAGGCAGCAAGAAAGAAAAAGTTTAGGGTCCAATTTCCTTAGGTCCTTAATGTTTTAACTTGGCATCTAAACGCAACCAATGCAGGCCTTGACGGGTGTATCGTACCAGTTCTGTCATGGTGCTTGCGTTAAAGACCAAGGGGCCCATTACTTTGTCCAATTCCGTAAAAAACTCTGCTGGAAGAAAAAAAACAACAACCCACAAATAAATTGGCAAATGCAGCATAAAAGTGCGAGCGTATATATCTATATAAATATATATTCATGTTTTGTTG